AGAAACAAAAAAGGGAGAAGATGAAGTCCTAGTGAGAGAAGTTGATATTTTTGCATTTTCTTCCATCCTTTCACTTGTAATTTCTTGTAAGACTTTTTTAAGCTCCATTGAATGTATTTAATGTCATTTATTACAAGCAAATTTCAAGTTTAGTCTTACATTTTGGATTTCTCCATTAATGCATTTAAGTTCTTCATTTTCAATCTTTAAATTGGGTATTTCATGTTTCTCTTCATAGTTTATGTTTCCTTGCATTGAATCAAGTTCCAATCTTCATTTCTTTATTACGTCTCTCTACATTATGCATGTTTTTCCCTTTAGTATGAGTAGCTAAATTTTATGTTGGCTAATCCAAGGGAGAACTTCTCTTGGGTATACCATTTCAACTCATTTTCTTTCCTCCTCGTGGTGTATGTTGATTCGGTTTGACTAGGTTGAGTGTGGACATAGTTGTGAGTTCTTGATACACCATAAACTTGTCACGGGATATGCTTGAATCCTCACATCTATTTTAGTCCCGCACTTCTTACGAATTAATCGAACATCTAGCCACCATTGGAGGAAGGTCTCGAGTTGATTTGGCATTCCCATTGGAATGACCCTTCGGAGTAGCCAACTCTTGTTTCATTTCATTTTAAGCAAGAATACAATCACCAAAACTCAAACTCAAAGATTTTTACACTTTACCCTTTTTTACGATTCACCTTCCTTCTCTAAGGAGACGACCTTGAAATACCCATTCCAAGTAAAAATACAACATTACAAGATTCTCTCTATGCTTGGGAGGCAATTTTGCACACAGACACAAATTTTGTTCAGTCATACCCGTTGGCCCCATTTCTTGCATCATTCCAAGGGAGAGTGATACTCCCCTACACACATAAACCATATACACATTTGAGGCTGATGTGCGGAGGTTAGGAACGACGGGGAAACCATTCAAGCACATCACAACTTGGTATTAGAGCTTAGGTTATACGATTTACCTATGGCTTGCAGGATATATGTTTAGACCATTGCATCAATTGCGCATTATATGTTATGTGCTTTAAATGCTATATATTATGTGTTATATGTTATATGAACAATATGCATGATGAAATGTATGTGGAAAAAAGACACTAAGGTTAGAGAGCATAATCTTAGGGGTTGGAAAAAGAATGAACGGAATGATTTAGAATGTAGATGTCTACTAGTTGGTGGCACATGCTCTACTAGTGAGACAAGGAGAGAAACCTCAAATTTTGAACTTGATCCCTATCTTGGGATACTAAGTAAGTGCTCTGTTGCTATTTGATATGTGTGTAGATGGAAAATAGAGGAAAGAAGTCACTATTCACACACTAGAGGGTGTTTGTTTCAAGTTTCAAGGGAAAAAGCACGATGCTCTACCCCAAATAGTGTATTGTTCCCGTTGGCATGAGCAATTGATGTGTTGGCTAGCGAGCCTTACCCTAAAAGACGAGGTGAGATAGGAGTTAGGTCTACCTCAAGTGGTTTGTGAGTATGATGACATTTTTTCCAACGGACTATCGGGATAATCTCCACATCGAGATGTAGACTTCACCATTGGGTTGTACCCTGGTACATTGCCCATTTCTATGACTCTGCATAGAGTGGCATATGCAGAGTTACAAGAACTCAAGGTCAAATTACACGAATTGATGGAGAGGGGTTCATTAGACCAAAAACCTTATCTTGGGGCGCTCTGATGTTGTTTGCAAGAAGAAGGATAAGACTCTTTGGCTATGTATAGGCTACCGACAATTAAATCAAGTTACTATCAAGAATATATACCCTTTACCGATGATTGATGATTTGTTTGATCAGTTGAGAGGGGCGCGGGTCTAATCTAAGATAGATCTATTCATGGGATACCATCAGTTGAGGACTAGGGAGGTAGATTTCCCTAAAATGGCATTTAGGATGCATTATGGACATTTCAAGCTCGCAGTTATACCTTTTGGATTGACGAATGCCCCAACGACATTCATGAATCTCATGCATAGCTTGTTCCAACCATACCTAGATCAGTTATTCGTGGTCTTTGTTGATGATATTTTGATTTACTCCAAGTCTAATGAGGAGCATGAGGGTCACTTGAGGGTTGTTCTCCAAAACTTGAAAGACGATTAGTTATATGCCAAGTTCAGCAAGTATAAATTTTGGCTAACAGAGGTGAAATTTTTGGGACACGTGGTGTTAGCTACGGTTGTATCAGTTGACCCAGATAAGGTTGAGACAGTTATGAATTGGGAGAGACCAAAGTCAGTCTTAGACATACGCAATTTTTTGGGATTGGTGGGGAATTATAGGAGGTTCATTGATAACTTCTCCCGACTAGTTGCACCTATAACGGGATTGACCCAAAAGAAGGTCAAGTTTTAGTGGGATGACTCATGTAAGCGTGCATTCCAAGAGTTAAAGAAGAGGCTTACTTCATCTCCAATTTTCTCAATTCCAAAAAGAGGACAGAGGTACACAGTATATTGTGATGTCTCGAAGGACGAACTTAAGTGTGTTTTGATGCAGTCCGGGAGAGTGGTGGCTTATGGTTCTTGGTAGTTAAAGAATCATGAGTAGAACTACCTTACACATGATATGGAGTTGGCAGCCATTATTTTTATCTTGAAGGCTTGGCGCCACTATTTATACGAAGAGCAGTTTGAGGTATTTTCAGATCACAAGAGTCTGAAGTACATCTTCACACACCGAGACCTCAACATAAGGCAATACAAGTGGATGGAGTATTTAGAGGACTATAACTTCACTTTGCATTACTATCCCGGTAAGGTAAATGTGGTAGTTGATGCACTTAGCCCAAAGTCACTAGGAGTATTGGCTAGTGTGGCTTCCCGTGAATGGCTGATGTTTGATACTGTGGGACAGTTCAAGCTACATTACAGGGGTCAGGCTCAGGATACTATACATACCAGTTACCTTTCTTGTTCGAGAATGGAGGTATATTCTTATAACCATTTAGTATTGTATTACTTGTTACATATGCATGCGTTAAGTGTGCATGAGTGTGTGAATTTTGAGAACGAAATTCTTTTAAGGGGAAAGAATGTAAAATCTAAAAAAATTTGAATTTTTATGAAAAGGGTAAAACGGTAATTTGACACTTCGGTGAGAGTTGAAAATCCATTTTTTCTAGAGCTCGGATGACAAAACGGACCTCACAATTAGATTCATCTCACAAAATCTAGTTACTGTGTCTATTTTCGTCAAACTCCGAGACAGTCAGGTTTTTTGCACTTTTCGAGGCGACCAGGTGTCGGGTGACTTCAAAAACAATCCCAAAACAAATTTCAAAAATTTTATTATAATTTAAAGGAAGTTCATATAAAAATATTTTAAAATTAAATTAGGATGAAATTTAATTATTTCAGAACGAAAACGACCTGGGAATAACGAACGCTTGACGCGACTTTATTTTTTCATATATATATATAGAAAATTGTATATAATTATACTACCAATAGTTCAAAAAAATTTAGAAGTTTTTATAAAAGAGTTCAAAATATATTGAAAGTCAAATAAGAGTAAAAAATAAAAATAAATAAAAGTATGTAGGTGAGTATAATTGACTTTATTATAATAATTAGAGATAAAATAATAAATTAAACTTTTTTTGAAGATGTTGGCATTTATAAGTATGTAGATATAGATATAGATAAATAGATATAAATATAGATATAGATAGATATAGACTTAGATTATAACTTATATTTGAATGTGAAATTTAATTTGATAGTTATTTGTGTATAATAATTTAATATGTATATGACTTTATTTCTTCATATAGATATAAAAAATTATATATAATTGTACTACTAATAAATGAGTTTAAAAAAATTTATAAGTCTCTTAGTCCAAAATAATTAAAAATTAAATAAGAATAAAAAATTAAAAATAAATAAAAGCATATAAGTGAGTATAATTAATTTTATCATAATAATTAAAGTTAAAACAAAAAGTAAAAAATTTTTACATTTATAAATTTATATTTTTTTGGTCCGAGAGTATATTACTATTTGTAAAGATCACAGATTCTTCACAGTGACGGGCATGGTCTAGGACGACTGCTACCTTCCTTTGCTCGTCTCTCTCTCCCGAAAGTCTATATTTCCCTGAGAGCGCCTTTTTTGCGATCCAACTCTCTTTCTCTCTCTCGTTTGTTGCGATTCTTTCTCTTCTATATGGAATATTTTCTCCATTTTCTGTTACGAAGCACCCAAATTTTCTTTTTTCACTTTGTTTTACCATTTGGGGTGAAGCTTCAATGCTGTTAGGTATTTTAGTATAACTCTGTGGTTCATTTCTCTTGATTCCTGTGAAATTTCAGCGTTTTCGTGGATATATTCCAGTTTGATCTGGCGAAGAAGGCTTGCTTTCTATTGGTTACAGTGTTTTGTGCTGTATTTTGTGGTTCTATTGTTGATATTTGATTGGAGAGTTTTGGATTATTTGCTTGAATTTGAAAATTGGACTGATGGGAGTTTGTAGGAGAAAGAAAGGAATTGATTGCCTGACGCAATTTGAAAAAATTGGGAGGGGCAAGAACTTCTATAGATCTGCTCTTTTATTCTCTATACAGTATGACCTTTAGAGCCTTTTCGGTATCTTTTTAGGTAATTCAATTTTTGAAGATAAGGGGAAAAAGTAAGTGGATATCGAAAGAGTCCTAATTGTATTGTTGGCTATTTAATCCTTCTGATTTTGAATATTTTTAAAAGTGCTTTTCTTTTAAACGAGTCGTGGGATAGAATTCGAGTTCTTCCTTGTTGAAGAGGCCTGTGTTTATGGGATTTTTTTGTACGATGTTAGCGAATGAGAAGTGGTGATTCTGTTGATTAAATGGATGATTAGGCTGCCAAATTTGAAGGGCTTGGAGGGATTTTATTAATAAGGTAGTGACGGATCCTTCAACTGAAAATAGTGGGTGTGATTGTTTGGCTGGTCTGGAGTGCATATTAAATATAATCAGGGCCCTCAGGATGGGGTCCTGCTTATCCGCTGAAAGCAGGAGCTCTCTCCCCAGTTCTCCGACGGCTCCACTTGGGGTTAGGAAGAGGAAGAGCTCGAATAAGAGATCCACGTCTCGGAGTTCTTCCCTTGACTACAGGAGGGAAGAACAGTTGTTGCATAGGATTCCGGGAAGATTGTTTTTGAATGGGTCTAGTGAAGTTGCTTCCCTATTTACTCAGCAAGGAAAGAAAGGGACCAATCAGGATGCCATGATTGTTTGGGAGGTCGGTTATTTGCCCTTCCTTCTTTATTTTGTTTTCTATTTAAATGGTTGAATTGCTTATTTAATGGACTTAGAGATACTCTGCTTATTGAGTATCAGAGTTTGCTTACCTTAACCAATACTATGGTTAGACGCACATTTTCTTCAATAAACTTCTCCACCGGATACACCCACAGATGTCTTGGATAGTTTCACTTGAACTCTCCACTGCATTGTTCTTCTAGGCCTCAAACACTCCTAGGACGCATTCAAGAATCTTGGATTGCAAACCTCCAGTGAGTTTGGTTCAACCAACCAAGCTCTTTTTCTCTAAGGTGTGAGAGTAGATAGAAATCATAAGATGGTAGCCTTTAAATTTAGGGATTTAGGGTTTTTGATCAGGCTCTCATGGTAAAAGATAGATTGAAAATACTCTAAAGAGGCTTACTTTAAAATGGGAAAACATCCTTCTATTTATAGGCTTGGAATAATGTTAGTCTTTGGGCCCAAGAAAACACAAATTCGCTAACGACTGATACTAGAATGCAATTGAGATTCAAACCAGAAATGCAGATTAGGGATTGCTCGAGCTGCCTCAGGGCGCCTAGAGAGTGATCCTCTCTGCACACAAGTGTAGCCTTTTCTCGAATTTTTCTCAAGTCTTTTAGAGATCGCTCTAGTCTAAAACCAAACAAAAAACTTGTCCTATTGAACAGTAAAAGACGTTGCTCAAGAGGGGTCCACTAATGGCTTAATTTTTTTTTTTTCAAAACACAAAAGAGGTTTAGAGAAGCTTTTTTGTGAAGAATACCTAGAAGCCATACACGGATCAATTACCGATTTTATTTTAACATTAATCATCCTTAGTCTAATAAATTAAACCAAGATTTCTTTGATTTCTAAGGTTATTATCTTTGTCCTAAGCATGGAGGTGCATACAGAGAGGTCAATTAATATAGTTTGAAGCATGATCTCCTCCCTTCCACTTAACGTTTTCTTATATTCGTCGCTGTAACATTATGACATGGAATATGTTGAGATTTACAAGGACTTTACGAAATTAGCCAATTATAAAACATGATCTAACACCATGGACTTAAGTTAGGATCTACAATGTGACTTTAAGGAATTAATCAATTATAAACAAGCAGTATCCTACAATTATGTAATCTGAAAAGGATATGAACAATATATATAATATGTTAAAAGACAAATTCTTAAGTTACACTTTCTCCAACAGTTTAAGTTTTGAGAGTATATGGTTGTTTAATATTATATTAGAGTAGGAAGTCCAGTGTTCGAATCTCGCCGCCCCTTTAATTATTAAAAAGATGTTCACGTGCTAGGCCCAAAATCTAGCTTGCATGTGATTAGGCTTGTTGAAGTATAAATACTTAAGTTACACCTTATCCAATAACTTAAGCTTTTAGAGTAGATAATTGTTTAACATAATACCCATATATATATGTATCCTCTTGAAGTTATCTTATTCATGTCATGCTTTGTTGCATGTAGATGGAGAACCAATGCACCAATTGTCCTGTAACAGCATTTGTATTAATTGGCTGCTGTTTTTTTTTTTCAGGACATTATCCGACAATTCTATTGCTTTTCCAAACCATACTTCTAGTGGGAAATTTTTTGGCTCTGATTTTAGTCTGGTTTGCTTTTGTGCTTGTGTGTGCTTGAGCATCAAAAGAGTTAGCTCACCTTTATTAGCATGCAACTCAGGTTCCAGCTAAATAAAACTTATTGTTGTAATATTTTTGAGTGTTTAGACCATTTTAATCTGCTTGGATGTTGTATATGTTGGAATGACCCTTGTTCAGAATTTCTCCACAATTGTCCCTTCGATTGGATTCTTCTATATTCATATGATTTATCTGCCAGTGCATATGGTGTACGATCCTCATCAAAGCATCACCCAGATTAACTTGAAAAACTGTATGCGGAACAAACAATTAATGTTTAATTTGCACATTACAAGATGTAGTGATGGTTAAGTTTTCAATAGAGAGATAGGCATAGATGAAGTGATTAGTGAACTACTCTCATCGTTTGTTACCATTTAGCACATTTTTCCAGTAAGAAAAATTTTCCCCAGAGCTAATAACTACCTCAGTTTTTTCTACATGTGGTGTAACTAAGAAAGAACATCTTGTTCCGTTCATATGGAATGTTTTATTATGTGTTGATAAATTGACATGTGCTTCATGCATTCTCTTCCGCTTTATAGTAATTATTTATGATATTTTTGTTGTGTCAACTATCAAACTATACACATCATATAGTAACTAAGAAAGAATCTCTTGTTCCATTCTAATGGCATGTTTAAAATTTAATGCCTCTATGTGTATGGATTGATATTTTGATAGATTGACAGGTTTTCCATGGTATCTGTTTTAATGCACTTCTCACCACGTTCTCCTCTACATAGTAATTATTTATGCTATTACTGATTTTGACATTGCTTGTGGGATGCTGTTCTAATTCTTTTCATTTGAATGTCCAGAACTTTGGTTCAAGAACCGATACAGTTTTCTGTGGGGTTTTTGATGGCCATGGCCCCTATGGTCACATGGTTGCAAAGAAAGTGAGAGACTCTCTTCCCTTGAAACTGAGTGCACACTGGGAAGTTAGTCTAAAGAGCGAAGATGTTCTGAAAGAGATCAGCCTTAACACCACACTTAGCATGAATTCTGAAGATACTTCCTTTGTATCTGCTGATGAGGAGTCCAGGGCCTCCATTGATGTTGAAGAAACAGAAAAGCACCCAGATGTCTTTCAGACACTGAAGGAGTCATTTCTGAAGGCTTTTAAAGTCATGGACAGGGAACTGAGAATGCACACGAATATTGATTGCTTCTGCAGTGGAACAACAGCAGTAACCATTGTGAAACAGGTCCTTTGACTGATAAAAATTTAAGTTGATTGCACCAGGATCTATTGATATTTGTTTGGAATTGTGATTGTGTTGATTGTTTCTATAGGGTCAGGATCTGGTAATTGGAAACGTTGGGGACTCGAGGGCTGTACTGGGTACAAGGGATAGAGATAATTCTCTTCGTGCAGTTCAGTTGACTGTGGATCTCAAGCCAAATCTTCCAGGTATGTATATCTCTCTTCCCACACTAGGTTTTCTTAGTGCTCATCTGGATCTCAAATCTTGTGTTGAAAGATCTGAAGTTATATTTTTTTCTAAACTCAGAACTGTGCGCAAAAGATTTATAAATTTGGGAATTGTGCACAAAAGATTTATGAATTGGGAATTGTGCACAAAAGATAATAGCTATAGGTGCTTGAAACAATTCGCTGGGGAGCTACCATGGTGAGTTTGTATGGGCAACATGATATATTGCGGTTATGTCCTTTTTGCACTTCTAGATTTGCTTATTGCAAATTCTTAGCCTTCTGAACCGACAGTACTTAGAGAGCTCTCAAAAAAAATCATACTAAACCAGGAAAAAGCTTGAAGCACAATGGTTATGTCAGGATCAGGGTCTATGTGAACTGTAGTTGGTTTGTTTGATTATTTTTACTGGGTCAAACGGTACATGTGCTGTGATGGGAAAGGAATCCAGAGAGTTATTCTTTCCACTGCCTTTTTTTTTTTTTGCATCTTTTATGTTCATTTTTTATTGTTGTTACTTGTTGATCAACTGGAAGATTAGGTTTTTTTTTTCAGTAAATAAAAACTTTGATATATGGAGAAAACGATACCTATTGCTTAAGTGCATTGAATTTGCATCGTATCATGTGCTACGTGATACAATACACCCAATACGAGATGATATATACGAGTCTTCCAATACGGGGCGAAATAGATAATTTTTTTTTTTTTTTGGGATTTTAACCTGAAAACGACGCATTTTCACATGGAAGTATTTTTTTAAAATATTAGGTAGTGAGAAAACATCACCCTATCTAGGGTTTTAAAAAATAAGCCTTCTTTTATTATTCGTTCTATCGCTAGAGCAAACTATTTGATTGTTAAAAGTGTCATCCACCGGCCACTAGGTGTCTAGAATTCTCTAAATTTTGATATTGATGAATTATGTTAGAAAATTGAATACTTAGATTGTTAATTTTTTTGTTTTGGTTTTTGTAGTGCCTTTAAATTATTTTATGTGAGAAATTTGTGGTACAATGAAATGTTATTATGACATTTTTTCATAGGTATATATATTTTTAATATATGAATGGTGAAGACAGACTCATATAGTCTACCTCAAATGATTGAGACATTAGATTTAGTTTAGTTTGGTTATATATTTTTAATATCTTTTATAAAATTACACATATCTTACGATACTCGATACACTGTTTTTGAAAAACAGTAAACCTTTCGATATACGTTTTAACAACCTTGACTATGTAGATGATGTACAAGCCAAGGGGATCACCCTAAAGCATTACAAGAAACCAATTAAGGCAAGGTACGGGTATGCTCAAATGTAGGATGATATGGCTAGGATATGTCTCTATATATATGTAATACATATGTATAGATATATGTATATATAATAGGATGATATTAAAAAATGTGGGATAAGGGGAATTAACAGACAAAACATGTCCCAAACTAAGACAAATTATTTTGTTGACATAGGGACTATTTAATGGTGTTTTGAATTCAATGTTATATGTAATTCTAAAGTTGAACATGTGTCACCTTTCAATAGTCCTCAACTTTTGTTTAGCATTTAATTGTAATAAACTTGTTTTGACATAAGCTATAAAAATTCATTATTTAGGCCAAACAGATTGTAAAGAATTGACAAATCTTTTGACTTATGTGATGCACATTCAAATTAGTATCAGGGAACATGGAATCCTCATTTGTATGATTCATGGTTTATCCCATCTCACTAAGTATAAAGCAAATGTATCTATTGTGAAGATAAGCTTATCCAATTTGTATCCGACAAGTATCTAACAAAAATAAATATCTTATTAATTATTCGATATGTGCAAAATATATCCGATACATGTTGGACGAGTATCGGTATCCACTCCATATCGTATACAGATATGCCACCTCAATCAAAGTATTCATGCTTTGTAGAGTCAAGTTAATTTGTTGGCTGCTATTTACTAGACTAGTGATGCTTACAAAGGAAAGTATCATGCAAATCTATGAGGAGTAGGATGTCTTCATCCTCCGAACAGATTTGCTACAAAGTATCATGTATGGTTACACGTGCTGTTAAGCACTAGCTTGCAGAGTTTCAATTTGCTGAGCACTAACAAGTGAGTTTGTATGTATGAACCAAAACAAAGGGTGCCAATTCTAATTTGTTGATAAACTTCAGCGCTGCTGGTTTTTTAAGTTTGGACGCAGCAATGATGTAGAACGAGTAGAAGATGAGAAGAAAGAATTAAGATATACTAAACCCTCGCAAGAATTAGGTTGAGAAACACACAAATTCTCTAAAGTGAATAATTTTATTGATATCACTCTCTTTAATAAATAACACGGATTATATCAATATTTATAGGTCAAATCGTTTATAAAAATAAGGAGGACCAAGAATACCATTTAATGGAGAAATTCATTGAATCAATAATGAAATCCATCTCTTGAAGGATTTTAATGGTGAACGTAAGTGGACATTTCTTATCAATTTTTAGCTTGGTACGAGTAATCCATGCCTCATAATATAGTTCTATATGTGGTTCAACTTTCAGATTTTATTCTTTACCATCTCTTTTGATACCACTTTCGTGCAACTTTGTCCTTCAGAGTTAACTCTTGTCTGAAATATTTTCCATCAATGAATAAATAGGGAGAGATGACACCCACACCCAACAAATGAACCTAAAGTTTCACCTGAAGTTTAATTAACAGGTGCTGGTCTTTCTATTCTTAGCCCAACAATAAAGTGTCCAACAATAAAATGCAGAATGTCCTGTGCCATCACAATAAGTACACTTCCACACATATTGAGGACCATCCACGACCCCTATGTGCACTAATCTTAGTCCAAACGAGCCATATGAACCAACGGACCACAATCGCCTTAAGACACCCACAAAAGAAAGAAAAAAAAAATACCTCCAAATACTCAAATCCTTTCGATAAGGAAGCCACAATGACAACCAAACATTAATCACAACAAAAAACTCAAAAGAACAACACGCAGGAGCCAAATAGTCGAAGATGTATGCTTTGGAGCAGTACCCAAGGCCAGACAATTACTATTCATCGTCTTCCAAACTAGTCGAAGATCCTCCAAGTAGAAAAAACATGGTTAAGGCAACCAAAGGGGGCTGGGCAACTCAGAGAACACCACTAAAGGCCAAATCAAAACCTTCTCGTACAAATCCAAACATCAATCCAGTTGGAAAACGTCAATAACAGTAGATCTAAAAATTGGACCTTATTTTCTCAAAAAATAATAGAAAATAGGAAAATATATTTAGATGCCTTCCAAAAATTACACAAAAATCATCATAAATACTATAGCTTGATGAGTCGATCCTACCTGTGGGTTATGTTAGAATGTGTTGACGTCATCATGATGTCACTGCCTCTGGTGCTAATGTTAGTGAAGAACTATGCACACATTTTTTTCCCTCTTTTTGTTCCTTTGTGCTATCTTTGAAGTTTTATTTTTACCCAGATGATTGCTCTGATACCAAGTTAAAGTTGTAAATCAAAACTAGGGTTTAAAGGAGAAAAGAAGGGGGAAGAAGAAAAAGAGAGAGATGGGAATAATCGTTGTGTAGGCAATATTCCCCTACACTCTTATTTATAATAAATTGACGTTCTGAGCAATTCATTACGATACACCTTTCGATACACGTTTTGACTACCTTGCTTGGACTCACTTGGGCTCTCCATAAGCTTAGAAAGATGTATGACTTGATTGTTTAAAACCTTGGATTGGTTAGCTAGATGCATGAGCTTCTTATTCAAGATTTTCCTATTTTGCATGCAATGAGTTCTATAGTGACCAATCCATACCACATGTGAAACACAAATTTTTTGTTTTGAACTTCCTTAATAACCATCTTTTTTAAGTGCCTACCCTTATCATTGTTAGTCTTTATGGGATTTGAGTTCATATGAGGAGGTGATGGGTTGTGATTACCCTTCACGAACATGTCTTAGAGGATGTGGAGGTGGTGTGTTCATTTGTATAGCCTAAACCACACCCATCACCGACACTCTTTTCTCTATAGACAACATTTTATCTAATTTTTTAGAACTTCGAGAAAGTCTCTTAATGAGTTATTGTGATACGTGAAGGTCTCTTTCAATTTTCATCAACTTAGACTCCAGGCACTTCTTTGACTCGACAAGCTTCACTTTCAAGCTCAACTTGTCCTTGAAGGACTTTTTTTCTGCCTCAAGCCCCACAAATATGATCTTTGGACTTCATCAAGTCCACATGGAGTGCTTTCTTAGCATCTTTACTTGTTTTGAGCTTCGTGCTCATCATTTTCTGTTGTTTGAGGCACTCTTCATACAATTAATTATATGCATCTTGAAGGTTCTCAATTTATCTTGAAGTCTCATCCTCACTCATAGAGACCTCGACATTCAAGTCATCCACCTCATTGGTGTGACTTGAGACTTCTTTTTCCAAGTCTTTTATCACTGTGATAAAACTTGCTGTCTCTTCAACTTTACTCTTAGAAGTTTCTCTAGGGAAAGAGGAATGAGGAGTCCTCACTCTTGGTAGACTCACTCTCACTTTTGCTCAATTTGGTCTTCATTGCATTTCACTTTTCCTTGGACGAATCTTTCTTCTTTCGATTTGAGCATTTCGCAGTCAAGTGACTAAACCAAACCCATGACACTCAAAGCATTGGCTACCTTGCTCTTGTTCTCAACTTCATGTCGAGACGTTCTTCCCCCTTTCTCTCTTTCCTCTTTAGAAGTTTTCGATCTATTCAACTTTCTTTTCGACCTAGAAGACTTGACACCACTAACCTTGGAATGTCTTTAGAATTTTCTAGCAAGATAGGCTATATCATCTTTTTCTAATTAGGATGACTCTGGTTTATCTCCTTCTCTTGTTAAGTTCAAAGCTATTCCCTGCATTTTTTTAGGTGGTAAGAAATTCATCTTGAGTGTCAAAATGAATTTAACAAAGTCCTCAATCAACACCTCTTTCAAATTGACGCTTGTTTCTAAGGCCGTCACTTTAATATGAAATCTTTTCGACAAAGACCTCAGGCTTTTTCAACTTAATTGTTACATCATCATATTTTGTACCTAATGCAAAGGATGAGTTAACAATATCACTAAGCTTGGTATAGAAATCACTAAAGCTTTCATTCTCTTTCGTTCTCAAAGTTTGGAACTGAAAGGTGTACCTTTGGAGGCGAGACATCTTCACCATTTTAGTCTTTTTTTGGAAAACTTGCAAGATGTTCTATGCATCTTTGGAGGATTCACAATCCTCTGGAACTTGTTACATGTCACAATATTGAATATCACATTCAAGCCTTTCGGGTTCTACTCCTCGACAAATCATACTCGGCTTTTGTCCAAGTATTGTGGGGTCTTAGTTCAATGACCGATTCATCACCTTCAACGTGGGTGGTGACCGTTAGAGGGCTCCAACCCTCTAGAATGTATAACCACACTCGCTCATCAGGTGATTTAAGAAAAGCTCTCATCTGAGCCATCAAATAAGCATAATTCGTCCAATCGAAAAGCGGTGGTCGTGCTACCGAACCTCCTCTTTTTGTAAATCCATTACAAACTAGCCAGTAGTCACATTAAATCACAAAGGAGCAAAAACTAGGTAATGTAAGCAAAAATGCAAAGTGCTCTTACAAAGTGCCCAAGTCAAATCCTATAGGGTGACCCACTCATTTTTTTTTTTTTAAGGGGTGCAACACGAGGACTTCTCAGGGGGTCACCAATCCTAGTACTACTCTCGCCCAAGCACGCTTAATTGCGGAGTTATGATGGGATCCGATGCATTAGTGCTGGTATGATTGCACCCACTTTGATATCAATTGTAAGGATAAATGTGATATCTTTATGCGAAATGGATTGTCCCTCACGATTAGGTATGTAGGATTAAGCACTACCTAGAGGAGGGTGAATAGGTTAATTAAAATTATGGTTGAACAACCACCAAATTTTGACCTATGTCTACCTCAATTACCTTCTCTCAAAATTCAATTTATTAGTTAACAATTTGAGAACCCCTTTTTCAAGAACAAACCATAAAGCCCATAATGATTAGTGTAATGAATATGTCAATTTATTGATTAACACTTAGTCAGTCACGGCGATCCCAACCAAGGCAACAACCCACTACCAAATCACTGTGGATGATATGAACACTCACATAATCATAATATGAAACACAGTGTCCGTGTGTGTTACAAATCACAGGTGTATCAATAAAGTAATAAAAAACACGAGAATTTTTGATGCGGAAACCCTTCTTTGAAAAAAAACTGCAAGGAACCACTTGGGGTTTACCAAATTCTAATTCACTATCCCACAATCAATTTACAAGTGTTCGAGTTTTATATCTCAACTAATACCATAGTTAGATACTCATTTCTTTCAATAGATCTTTCTATTGGGTACACTCACCAATGTTGTGGATAACGTCACTTGAACTTATTGTCGCACGATTCGTTTAGGCCTCGAGCACTCCTAGGACGCACCCAAGAATCGTGGTATGCACACTCTTCAAGTGGATTTGGTAGAACCAGGTTCTTCTTCTTTAAGGTGTGATGTTGGATAGTAATCACAAAATGGGCGTTGGCCTGTTGGATGTAGAAATCTAAGGTTGCTCACAAGCTCTCAAGGGTTTTTGATATGTAAAAAATACTCTCATGAGGCTTACCCTTACATAGGAAATACACCCTCTATTTATAGGCTCGAAATAGGGTTTGTCTTGAGACCAATAAAACATAAAGTCACAATTGACCACTCAGGCAATGGGAGAGCGGTGGTTACTGGAATGAACAAAGAATTTAACCCATGGCGGGAGAGTAGGGATCGCTCAAGCGACTCATGACTGCTCAAGTGACTTCATTACCACTCGAGCCATCAACGGCTTGAGAGCGACTCAAAGGTTGATCTCCATTGTCCACTAATTCAGCCTTTCCTGATTTTATCTCTAAGTGTTTAGAGACCGCTTTAGCAATGACTAGCGAATATAGGGCGGTTCCTATTGATTTTTAAGTTAGAAATCAAGTAAAAATTTATTCGCTTGAATATTAAAGAGTTTTTCTCCGATTAATGACTCAAGTCTATGTTTTCAAAACATAATTAAGGTTTAGAATTTTTTTTTTTCGAAAATCACCTATGAGTCATTAATAGAACAATCACCAATTTCATTTTACCTAATCAACCTAACTTTAATAAATTAAACTAAGGGTGTTAAGGTCTCTAGGTTATTACCTTTGTCCTATGCAAGAAGGTATATACAGAGAATCTCTTGATGTAGCTTGAAACGTAATCTCGTCCCTTCTATAACGTTTTCGGATGTTCAATGTTGTAGTATCATGGCCATATAAGTGGTTGAGAGTTATAAAAAAATTTCACGAAATTAGCAAATTACAAACATGATCCTAACACAGTCATCCTCTACTATCATACCATTTTCCAATTCCTTTTTCTTAATGAATTTCTTTTTCTTCCTGCCATTAGTAATCCTATGGAAGAGTTTTAAATTATTATCTCCTTCGTTGATCCATGTCAATCTAGCCTTTTATCTCAAACTAATTTTGTCCATAAACACCATCTTTTCAAATTTATTCCTAAGTTCTCACCTCTTTCACCGCAAAATGTCATCCCTTCCTCCCTTCTCTTCCATCTTATCAATCTCTCCAATTCTAGTCATGATTAGATTTTTAGTGATTCTTATATCCCCAAACACTTCATTATTATATCTTTCACCTTGTTTTTCACATATTCAAGCTTTTTCATGAATTTATAACCCTCCCACCCTCGACAATTTCCTTCTCCCAACCATTCTTTAAATGTCTTTTCAATACATGATATTGTATTCACATATTTTCAAACCTAAATGGACAAGGTCCCCATTTTACTAGTGATGAATCAAGAACAATGGAGTAATGATTTGACACTACTCTAAAAAGAATCTCTGGTCTCATTTCTGGGAAACAATTCTCCCATTCAACAGAGAAAAGAAACTTATCCATCCTATTACAAATTGGATTATCTCTAAAATTGTACTAAGTAAAAGTTCCATTTCCTAACAGAGGGTCCTTTAAATTAGTTTTCCTAATGAATGAATCAAAATCCCTTATACCAGTGTTATTTAAGGCGTAAAGTGAAGTGAAACGAACCGGTCTCTTAAGGGTCTAGGCAAGAAGCGAAGCGAGCGCTTCATCGAAGCAAAACGAAAAATATAAAAAATAAGCAAATAGTCTAGTTTGATAATTTGATTGCTCTTAAATATTCAAGTTTTAACTTTACGAATACAAAATATTTAAATACAACCAAAATAATAAATATTTACATATTTTAAATAGACAAGATATTAAATATTGAACATTATTGCATTCTAAAAATAATCAATTGACATAATCACGTCATCAAAATGGAAAGTTAGCAAATGTGGGTTCGACTCTCATTGTGATTGATTAATATCACCATTAAACAAAGTACTCACAAATTAATTAATCAAATAGAGTATATAGCAAATTGATTAACCAAGCAAATTGATTAACAAGAGCATTCACCACAAAAAAGGCATTCAACATTAGCTAATCATACCAAGATAGATTGCCATATGATACTATCGGATGAATCAATCAATTTATTTTATACAAATATAAATATAACATCATCTCTGCTAGAGTTTAGTTGATTTAAGGAGGAGGAGGAGGAGGAGAAAATAAAAAAAATTGCATTCAAGCGTTCGTTCTTCTCGCCTGGCTCGCTCGCTTCATCGCCTAGGCTCACTTTTTTCTCGCTTTATTTAACCTTGCTTTGTCTTAGTTGTTCAAGGTGACCAACGCTCGCTTTGCTTCTTGTCTAGGCGCTTGCTTTTCATAACACTGTCTCATACTTTTGGTTACCCTTCTTCCATTTAAATTTTCAGAAAGATACCTAACATTAAAATCACCACTATGCACCAAAGAGGACTACACAGACCATAGAAACCCGCTAATTCCTCTCACAATCTACATGGCTACACCTCACTCTAGGGCAATTTGGACCGTACACTCCAGTTAAACCACTAATCGATTCCTTTGTTGGATTCTATCCCGATGGATAATGAAAACTCAGCCTCCATTGATTTCTCCACTTGAAATGTTCTCTCATCCCACATAATCACAATACCCTGTGTTCTACCAATGGAAGACAACCAAACCTAATTTCTATACCTAGAACTTCACACGCACTTCACCAATTTTCTCTCAATCTTTTCCTTTTTTGACTCCTGCAATATTACCACATTTGGCCCTTGTCTCAGTAGCAAATCCTTGACATTACAACTGATGATCTTCACAAAAAACTTCTTCACCCACACCATTCCCTCTAGACATAAATCCCATCATAATTAACCCCAGACTGTAAACTTTTTAAGTTTTCTCATCCCCTTATTTTTCCTAGCTGACCTTGCCTCACCCTTTTTCTCACCTTCCCTTTTATTATGGACTAAAGACAAATTCATCTTCGCCAAAATTTTCTTCAATGCATCCCACTTTTCCTCATCTAACAAGAATAGCCTATCCACTCCCTCTCCACTTGTTTCACACTCCCTCCCTACTTCTGGATTGGGGACAGGTCTCTGTTGGTGAAAACATTCAAGAGCAACAGGGGACATAACCCTAGAGTCCTCCTTGAGAACTAACTTCTCTACAACATCTACTTCTTCAGTACACATCAATGAATTACAATTACTACATAAACCCTCATTCTGTTCATCTAACAAGCCTGAATGGGCAAGTATTCCATGACCCATGTTGTGAATATCACCAGAAAATGATGAAGTCCACCCCTGACGACCTAGATCTACCACAGATATTTCCCCTCTCAAGGATTGGACAGATTGATCGAATAGGTTCACACCCCCCACTGGAAACTAATCCCAACTCCCCTGGCCAAGGCACATTTGGGTGCAAGGGAAAGCATTAGGCTGTTGCACAATGGGAAAACTTACCTGCTGATTAACCACTGGTGTATAAACCCCCCTCTGAAGATGCACTGCTATTATCTTCATTTTACCCATTTCATTTTCTTTGTCAAATAATCTCCCAATATGGTAAATCTTAATCCACCACTTTTGAATCCCTTTTTGAAGCCAAATCTTCACAGTGAGAGCTTCCTTCAAAACTGTTGGTAATATCTAACCCATCATAACCATCGCGAACAAAATTTACATTGTCGAGACAGGTGGATCGAACATTTGTTCTCCAACCCAGTTCACAATCACGAGGCAGTTCGAATTCTTCTTTATCTGCAGGGTGGGTGTCACTGCATTCTTCTCCCCTATCCTCTTCGCAGATCTGTTTCGGTTAAGTGTCCCTCCAACTTCTCTCCCAGCGTCGAACTCTTTCGTCTCCTCATCCTCTTCTATTAGAGTTGCCCTAGCCTTTAGATTGCTGCATTCAGAGACGTTCTTTGGTTCGCTTGAAAACTGGTTTCGGATCGGTGCTACTGCTACCTTCAATTTTAAGAATTCCACTGGTTTAGCTTTAAATTGGCCTACTCATAATGTGCTTTGGGCAATATAAGTCGCCAGAAACCTTAATGGACCTGAAATACAATTGGTCCTTATTTAATTTAGCGCGTGACAGCCCAATATCTGTTTCAAAGCCCACATTGATGTATTCAGACGCGTCATTCAAAGCCCTCATTAACTTCTCTGACCTTATTTCCATCTGCATTGACTTTCCCAACCACTCTTTTAAAATTTGAATTAATACCTAGAGACTCGGGAATCTGATTAATTGCTCCCTTAATCACCGAATCCCCATTAATAACAGGCCCAATTTCTGTTAAACGGTTATGGGAATCCAGGGCTAATATTATCCTTCTCTAATTTGGTGCGTCTAACTAGGGGTGTGCAACAATCTGAAAATCCGAATCCGCCTCCGACTACCGACCGACTCTGCCTCCGTCGGAGTCGGAATGCCTATCCGAAAAAAACTCCGACTCTGACTCCGATTCCAAATTTTATTAATTAATTATAAATTCCTACTTATATAACATGAATTACGTAACATATTATTATAATATATCTAATAATCTACCTTATCTATCTACCCTAAACCCAAACGTTAACCACACCCCACCCATTTACTCTCTCTCTCACACACACTCACATTCGATGTTGACGAGTAGGCAAGCAGCGGTTCCCCTCCATCTCTATCTCTCAATCTCAGTTGATAATCGCAGATCTAAGATCTGAGATCTTAGAGAACCCGTGGGCAAGGTGGATAGACAATCTGCAATTGACTCAACTTCTTTGGATTTACCCTACCAAAGATTAGTTGACCATCCGCAAACATTAAGTGGCCGATTGGTTCTAGTGCCTAGCTATCTTGATCCTTTTAAGCCTGTTGTGCATTGTTTCACTATGAAGTAGCCTTGAGAATATTTAAATGCATATAATGAATAAAAAGGGGGAGAGGGGGATCTCCATGCTGTTCTCTTTGTACTTTAAAGTTTCTTTTTTGGTAATTGATCAAGACCAAGAAAGGTGTGGTGATATTGCATTGTTCAATTAGGTTTGATGAATCGACGGGGGATCCTAGTAGAGTTAGTGTATAAATGAGGAAAGGCCACTCAATTCTATCAAAACCTTTTGCCATGTCTATCTTTACCATTGTGAATGTAGAAGCTATTAGGGTTTGAAGAGAAAGAAATCTAGAAGAGGCGGAAGAGAGAGAGCCTACACTCACCTCCCTAACCTGATGTATTTATATATATGTGTAAAATAACTAAAAGACTCATATACCCCTAAATGGATATATTTATTACAAGAATGTCACTTCTATATATACTAACACCCCCCCACCTCAAGCTAATGAATATATATCATATAATCCTAACTTGAAACAAATATCTCTCAATCGAGAACTATTCAAAGACTTGTTAAACATATCAGCAAGTTGATCCTCAATTTTGACAAATGGAGTGATAATGTCTCTATGTAACAACTCCCAAACGAAGTGACAGTCAACCTCAATGTGCTTTATTTTTTCATGAAACATAGAAGTTATATGAATTACTGGTTGGTTATCACAAAATAGCTTGAGCGGAGTTTGAGTTGGAAACCTAATTTCCTAAAAGAAGTGTTGTAACCATGTTAGCTCACTATATGTCTGAGCCATCGCTCTATACTCAGCTTCTGCATTAAACCATGCTACCAGTGTCTGCTCCTTATTTTTCCATGTGACCAGATTGCCTTCCAAAAAAGTACAATATCCTGTAGTAGATTGTCTATCCAAAAGAGATCTTGCCTAATCTGTATTTGTGAATCCTTTTAATTGAAGGTGCCCATACGATTGATACAATACTCCCAAGTTTGGGAGCCGCCTTGAGATATCGAATAATGCGAATAACATCAGGCCAATGTGGTACTCGAAGAGCTTCCATATGCTGGCTTACCACACTAACTGCATTCGAAATATCTGGTTGGGTAATAGTGAGGTAATTCAATTTTTCAACTAGGCGATGATTCCGTCTAGGATTCGAAAAACATTCTCCTTTAGTCTTTGAGAGCGTATGATTTGGAGCCATAGGAATATCAACTGGTCGATGGACTAATGACCTGTTTAGATCTAACAACCTCAATATTGAGAAAATATTTAGGTTTGCTAAGATCTTTGGTATAAAACAAAAATATTTTTAACTTGGCAATGCCCACAAAGTCATCACCTATAATTACAATATCATCAACATAAACAACAAGAAGGATATTACCCGCATCATTTCGCAAATAGAATACCGAATGATCTGTTTGACATCTATGAAGACCAAAATCTAACACAGCCTTTGAAAAATTTTCAAACCATGCTTATGGGGACTGTTGAAGCCCATTACAAGGCTTGTTTAATTTGTAAACACTGCCCCGATACTTCTCTTGAGCAACAAACCAAGGTGATTGCTCCATGTAGACCTCCTCGATCAAATCTCCATGTAGGAAAACATTTTTGACATTCAACTGAAATAAGAGTCAATCAAGATTAGTAGCACGCAAAATCAAAACTTCGACATAAGAGATTTTAGTCATTGGAGAAAAAGTCTTTGCATAATCAACACCATATGTTTGGGTGTATCCCTTTGCAACCAAAAAACATTTCAGACGATCTATAGTGCCGTCCAAATGATATTTGATGGTATACACCCAACGACACCAAACAACTTACTTCCCAGGAGGTAATGGAACGAGATCCTAAGTATGATTATGATGGAGAGCATCCATCTCGTCTGTCATAGGTTGCCTCCAACCCAAATCAGATAAAGCATTTGCCAAAGTCTTAGGAACAGACATAGCTGACAACTAAGAGGTAAATGATGTAAAAGACGGGATAACAAATGGGAAGAAACAAAGTTAGTAATGGGATGGTAACACATGAATGTGTACTTTACGGAGAGGAATAGGTAACGAATCTTACAAATTGGAGGGTGGATCCATAGATGACAAAAGGGCTGGTGTGGGGCGTGAATCAATTGCAATAGGTGGCCTCGACCGATGACTGTAAACATGAATAGGCATGGTAGAGGGTATAGGTAAAGGATCAGGAGGACGACGACTTAGGATTTGACATGATTGAGGAGCAAAGGATAAGAGAATGGGAGATGGAAGTGGAAGTGGGTGGATGACTTAGTAAGACTCAAAAGGGAACAAAATGAGCAAAAAAGTAGGGTGTAGATTCGCAAATGGTAACATCAACACTTGTGAAATATTTACGAAGAGCAGGGCTACAACAGTGATAACCCTTCTGAGTGAGGGAATAGCCAAGACATATACACTTAGTAGCACAGGGATCAAGTTTATCAAAACCTGGACCATAATTGTAGACATAGAATACACATTCAAACACTTTAGGAGGAAGAGAAAACAATAAAGAGTTAGGAAGCAAAATCGAATAAGGAGATGCCCCATTCAAGACAATGGAGGATATCTGATTAATAAAATTGTAGGCAGTCAAGATAGCATCACCCCAGAATTGGGGAGGAGCATGCATATGAAATAAGAGTGCCCTAGTCACATCCAATAAATGATGATTCTTTCTCTCACCCACACCATTTTGTTGTGGTGTATAAACACATGAAGTCTGATGTACAATGCCATTTTAATTGAAGTACATCTGAAATAGATTAGAAGTATATTCTTTGGAGCCGTCAAATCGTAATACACGAATATTGCAACCAAATAATTTAGAGTGATTTTTTATTAAAAATAACCAAAGTTATACGAGAATGGTCATCTACAAATATGACAAAATAATCAAATTCATTAACAAAAGAATAGTTGGGGAAACCCCACAAATTACAATTATTGGTCCTAGGTGTAAAAGACACACGATGGTGCTTACTAAGTTGACAAATTTTACAAAACAAAGACGACACATGACTAAAACTAGGAACTTGAGACTTCAAAATTGGAAGAGATGGATGTTCGAGACGATAATGCCACTGTAAAGGGGATAATGAGGTCTAAAAAGCTCTAGAATGGGTTGGAAATCAAAGTAATAGAGACTGTCAGATTTATGCCCCGTACCAATCTTAGTTTTCGTATTGAGATCCTGAAATACACCAACTGAAGAATAAAAGGTTATAGAGCAGTTAAGAGAACATGTTATCTTATTAATATAGTACAAACTAAAAGAAATTGAGGAACAAACATAATAGAGGATAAGGAAAAAGAGGGACTAAGCTGTGTAGTACCCAAACCTGAAACCAGTTATGACAAACCATTAGCAAGGGTAACACCGCGAGAGGGGGACTATAGATTGAAAATTAGATAAATTACCAGAAGAGCTCTGAAGCTTCAAAATCAATGATCCACGGGCTAAAAGTGGAGGACAATAGACAAGTAGGTGTTGTCTCTGCATGAGCAAAGGTAGCAGTAGTGGAAGAAATAGCCTGTTTCTCAGATAGAAATTGAGCATACTCATCTTGAGAAATAGTAATAAAGGCAGCAGCAGGGGCTGAATGAGTCCAGAGGGTGGAATAGTGGGAGAGATCTCGTCTTGATAAGAAGCCTATGAGCTGAAACCAACTGTTTGCCATGCAAGTCCCATCAATAATCCATAGTATGATGATTTCGACCACAATGAGTACATTTACGGGTGTCACGACCTCCTCCACCACCACGACCTCCACAAGAACCACATGATCGACCATAGGTGTCATGACCTCCTCTACTACCATGGCCTCCACGAGAACTACTATTGCCAAGGGAAAAATTAGTAGAAAAGTTTGGTGGGAGGACATGAGTATCTACCTTAGAGACAGTAGGTTTGGGTGTATTGGTTTTAAAATCCATGCCCACACAAAATAAGGTTCAAACACTACTAAACAAAGTTGAATAGAGTCCAAGAAGTACCCTCAGAGGAGAAACTCAACCTAAACTAGAGGGAAATAGGCAGAACAGGAGCAGATCAGTAAACCAAACTGCCTGGGTCCTAAATCGGACTAGCAAAATGGTGAACCAGGACAAAAGTTGACTGCTGGGGCCAGAACCAGAAGAGAAGAGAACTAAATCGGGTTGAAACGGACTGCAAAGTGTGTTGAACTGGTCTGGACAAGCTTGGATTGAACCGGCTGACTTGGGCTCAAATCTAACTGGGCCTTGGTTAGATCACTTGACCCAGCTGCAGATTGGGATCCACATCAAGAAGATCAAATGGGCTGAACTTACTGGGCTCAACCATACAGCCCACCACACAGATCTGGAACTTGATATCCAAAACAGGAACAAGACTTAACTGTTCTCGTAGCCAAACACCACCATCGTTTTCTTCACCAACCGGAGAGAAACTGCAACGGTGCTACGTTTGCCACCAGTGAGAACTCAGGCAAACTCGACACCACTCGGCACTTCGAAACACCAAATCGCACATTAATCCCAACTAATCAGCCAACCAACTTACATTAATTAGCTATCCAAGCTTCGATTGAATGCTGACAACACACCAACAACATTTCTCCGGCAACGAATAGAGACTAGGGCTAGGAAAATCTAGTACCCTGCCATTAACAGTTCCTCAACAAGTCTCAGGATCCAAAGATCCTCACATACACTGAACAATTTTTGCCAATCAACGAAGTAGAGAAAGGAAACAAAAAAGAAATAAAATAAAGAAGAGAAAGAAAGGAAGAAGAGGACTCAGGGAAGAAGAGGTGTGAGCTGATTAAGGTGGTTTTGATACCATGTGAATGTAGAAGCTATTAGGGTTTCAAGAGGAAGAAATCTGGAAGAGGCCGAAGAGGGAGAGTCTACACTCACCTCCCTTACCTCATGTATTTATATGTATGTGTAAAATAACTAAAAGACTCATATACCCCTAGATGGATATATTTATTACAAGAATGTCACTCATATATATTCTAACAACCATCATCAAGGCCCATTTACCTTTCTTTTTCTTCATTTGATAGACTATTTCTTGGTTTAGTACTTTGTTTTCTAGAATGTTCCTTCCTGGGACTAAAGCTTTCTGATTGGGAATGATGATTTGATCAAGATGGGGCCTTAGTTTGTTTGCAAGAATTTTGGATATGATCTTATATGTTATGTTGCAAAGACTAATTGGCCTATAGTGATGGACTGATGTGGGCTTAGGGGATTTTGGAATTAGGCACAGGTTTGTTCTATTGATTTCAGTCATCGTTCTCTCTCCAGCAAAAAAACCCCTCACCCTATCTGTTAGGTTAGCTCCTATAATGTTCCAGTATGTCTTGTAAAGTACAAATGACATCCTATCTGGTCGTGGGGACTTAAGGGAAGGCATGACAAACAGTGTGCATTTTATTTCCTCCGGGGTTGGGATTGAGCAGAGGGTGGGCTAGCAATCTGGAGTTATTACTTGTGAAATTAGATTGTTCAAATGATGTGGAAATTGTGGATTTTAACTAATGAAAAGTGAGTGAAAATAGTGCACAAATTGATTACCTATTTCTGCATGTTCCATCTACTAGTTTGAGACAATTACTAGAGTTCTTATGATAGTGGTGGTAGGAAGAACTTGGTGTATGCGTCTCCTTCCTTCATACATTGGACATGTGATCTTTGTTGCCACAAGCTTTCTTCCATCTGTAATTGCTCTGTCAGCTCATTGACCCGAATCTTTTCTTCCAATATTTTATGAGGTGTTGGGTCTTTTTGTTGGAGCTTGTCAATTCTGTCCTTGAGAAATTTTGCTCTTTTGATGCAATTGCCATAATGAATTTTATCCACCCTGTAATCCTTCCATTGTTGATTGAAGCTTCCTGCAAAATCTGTAGGCTATTGAATCCCTAAAGTTTGTTTACTATGATTCTTTGGTACAATGCTTTCTTTGCTACTTTGTGAGTGATTTAGAAAGAAAAGAATGCAGGGATTGTTGAGGATAAGTGTGAAGAAGTTGAGTGAATATGGGATATAATTCATTTTTGGCTTCTTTTTGGACTTTCTCAGCGAAGGAGTTTGAGGATATTCCTCTCTTTTGTATTAGAACAAGTTGTAGAGCTTCATGTGGTTTGTAGTCATTGTGGATTCCTTGTCCACCATTGATTTGTTTCTTGTAAATTTTTTCTTATGATTATCAATAAAATGTTGTCTTATCGAAAAAAGCTTGTTTATCATGATTTTTTGACCACTTGTGGTTAGTTATGTCTCTAGTACACATTGCTTTTTAGTGTGTTTTTTTTGGTTTTTTGGAGATTTATTTGTCTCTACTAGGGACAAGATTTCTGAATTGAAATCTCTTATTTGTGCCCTCAAATGACTGTCGAGGTGTGGGCTAACCGCCACAGTAGTAGCCTCTCACTGCCTATTCAACAGTGATTTCTTGTAGGTTGTGCGAGATTGATTTGGTCAAAGTTCTTGTGTTTTTTTTTTCTGAGAAATTTCTTGCTGGCTTTTGTTTCATTGATGGAGAGCTTCCTTCAATTGGTTCTTCTCTACGTAGTTGTTAGTCACTTGTGGGGCATGGTACAAGATCTTCTTCTGGTTCCGTCACAATATATGCCTTCATTGCTGGATGAGCTTTGCTTGTATGTTTTTATTGACTTTGCTTCTAAAACCACTGGATTATGATCTATTGCGTCTAAATAATTTTGTTGGTCTTTGATGTCCATCTTCAAAAGCAGTTCTCTTGAGGGCAAGTCTGTTGAAGACTCTGGCCATACAATCATTAACGATTGAGAGAATACCCATGAGTGTGACTATGTTTGAAGGTAGGAGGGGAAAGTTTTGAAGAGCGGTGGGATTTTGGTTAATTGGAGGCCAGTTTGTGTGGATGAAGGGTTCGGTTTGCCTGGGCTACTGGTTGTTTGTGTGAGTTTTGTTGATTTCAGGTCCAGTTGTGAGGTGAGTTGGGTCAATAAAGGTTTGAGGATTTTTTGAGCTTATGGTGTTTTCTGGTGGGCTTGGGGTATATGGATGGTTGTTTGTGATGGGCGATGGGCGATGGGCATCCTCATTTGGGGGTAAATTGGATGGTAGGGGTTGTGTCTGTTGTCTTTGTTTGGAGAGGAAGATTTGGAATATGCAGGTTCATTACTGTTCTGTCCGTCTTTGGCATGCCATGTGGATCAGGTGTAGCAGAATCTTTGTATGATTTTGTGTGCACTACAGACATCTTGGGATTGTGTGCTTCATCTGTGTCAGGTGACGTATCCTCACGCATCCAGGTGGCAATTGCTTCACTGTCTTGAATGGTTGTGTTGGGTTTTCCAGCGAGTGTTGGATGTCTGATAGTTTCCAGGGATTTGCTCTCAATTGGGTTATATAGATGGTGAATTTATCATCTGATGCTTGAAAATTGCATCCATTCCTATCAGATCATGAGCTTGGCCCAGAATGGCGTTGTTGTGAAATCAACTTCAGCTATCGATGGGCAAGGGGTCCACTGTTTACTAACCTGCAGCTGGACCTTAACTGACCATGGCCTTTGATTGAGGATTCTCTGCTTCAGTTCTTCGTTCTTGAATATGAAGATGTATGAGTCATTATATCCATCTTTGATCTCGAGTTGATCTTCCGCATTCCTGTTGATATGTTTGTCCTTGTGTAGCTTACCTATGAGACAAGCTTGTGAGACAAATTTGGTTATGGGGTCATGGGATTGCAGTTGTATTGTGAGTTTTGGTTCTGTGCTGCTGTGAAAGTTTAGAATGTTTGGGTTTAATATGGGGATTGTGTATGCTTGGGTTCATGGTTGAAGGGATTGGGTTAGGGATGAAAATAGAAGTTTCTTCACTACTGAGCATTCATGGGTATGAATGATTTGGATGGTGTGAGAGAGTATCCACAGTGATTAAGAGGGGAGTGGACAGCCAGAGGTTGGAAGGATAACAACGGCGGCCAAATCGGAGAGGAGTGTGATACTCTGAGGGAGAATGCTGCTGAGTGTTGGGGGATTCACTCTATAATTGAGAGCAGGTTTGCATGTGCACTGCCATTTAGGGTTTAATCACTGTACTGGTTGGGCTATTGCTGGGTACTTGGGTCAAAGATGTGGGATTGGGCTGTGGATTGATGCTAGATTGGGTTAATAGGCTGGTCAAGTTAAAGTCAATGTGATTGGTTGCAAACAATGGGACTAACACTGATTGAATGTTTTGAACAGATCGAATTTAGGCTTTGATACCAATTGATGTAAAACAGGGAGAGGAGGAGAAGAAAGAATTAAGAGATAGCAAACCCTTGCAAAGGATTAGGTCATGAACATACAAATTCTTCGAAGGGAACAATGTTGTTACTAGCTCTCTCTCTAATGAAATAATAGGAATTACATCAACATTTACAGGCCAAATCTCCTATCAAAATAGGTTGTTTCTAAACTCTTCTATCAAAATTACTATATACTTCCAGTCAAACAATAATTTCCTAAATAATAATCCAACAAATAATAATAATTATAATTTGAAATAATCCTTGTAAAATTACTAATCACACTTTCTTTTGGACCAAAAATTTTTGGTCTTCCGTCTAGGCTTCTAAAGTAGATTGTCATATTGGTCTAGCCAATCAATGACTGCACCATCAAGTAACTTGATAGGTCCCAGGTATGTACAATGTGAAGTGTTTGAACTTGAGGAATGCTAACTTAGCACGTACTGTGTTGAGGGTGTGAGTTTGGACAGCTGGCATATCATTGAATTCATTGAAAATTGTATTGTCTCTCTCTCCAAATTGCATAGATTCTGGTTCATATGGAAAGTTTCTGAATGACAGTTTGTAAACATTTACCTTTCTGGTGTTAGGAAGTCCAATTAATGAAGTCCTTCCATGGCCAGAAGATGAATATTATTTAAATTTTTTTTTTTTGACATTATCAAGTTCCCTTTGCGCTTCTCTATATGGCCAGAAGATGAATGCTATGTAAATGCAGAAATCTATTGCACAGTGATGAACAACTTGTAAGCTGGTCCAGGTATCAAGCATTACATACATGATTTAATTAATCAATACTTCAAATTATTATTCATACCACCAAAGTCAGCTGTAATATGTGAATCTGGGATTTGGAAACCTATTGTAGTATTCAAAGGGAAACATTGAATATGTGTAGCTAAAGGTGAAGATGTCGTAGCAAAAGCTAGCTAGATCAAGAGGGTCATATGATGAATGAGTGTAAAAAAAAAGATGGCATTAGTGGGTGTCAAAATTACGGGAACCCCCCCCCTCCTAGTGTGGGGGGGGGGGGGGGAATGAATGAGAGTATGCCTCTGTTTAGTTTGGAAATTTTTAGCCCGAACTGACATCTGCCTCTTAACTCCTTCCTTCTTAATTATCCTTTCAGCGGAAGCAGAGAGGATTTATAAATGCAAAGGGCGTGTTTTTGCCCTACAGGATGAACCAGAGGTTGCCAGAGTTTGGCTGCCTAACAATGATTCCCCTGGCCTTGCCATGGCCCGTGCTTTTGGAGATTTCTGTCTGAAGGATTTCGGTCTCATCTCCGTGCCAGAAATTTCCTATAGGCGCATCACAGAGAAAGATGAGTTTGTAGTCTTGGCGACAGATGGGGTACGGATCTCTACATCAAATTCTGGCACCAATGTCTTTATAGGGAGGAACTGTCATCTTCATTTCTAATTGTTGTTTCTAATTTCACAGATTTGGGATGTGTTGTCGAACAAAGAAGTGGTAGACATTGTGGCTTCCGCCCCATCACGTTCGTATGCAGCTCGGGCACTGGTTGAGTTAGCAGTTCGAGCTTGGCGGTTTAAGTATCCGACTTCTAAAGTTGATGACTGTGCAGTGGTGTGTCTCTTCCTTGACTCAAACCTAAACAATTTATCTACGGCTTCCACTACCAAATCCAAAGAAAAGACTGCCTCAATGGAATTAATTGGCATTGCCGGTGAGAAAGAAGATCTCTCTTGCTCAACCGTGCCAAACCATTCTGGAACTATTCGAACTGCCAAAGAGATCGTTGGAGAAGGAAGCAAAGAGGAAGCCTCAGAAGGAAGCGAGGAGGAAGCAGATCTGCACGAGGAATCAGGAACAGAGTGGTCCGCTCTTGAAGGAGTGTCTCGTGTGAACACATTAGTGACATTACCAAGGTTTGTGCCTGAGAAAGAAAAGAAGAAAGCAACTGGAGAAACAAAGGCTAGGAAATTATGAAGGGCAAAAGGTTGAGTCTGGTTCTATATCAATTAATATTTTTCTCTTTATTTATTTTTATCTGTTGCCCTAATGTGCTGTTTCTTTTCTTAACAGGGAGGAAGTAAGGGTAAGCAAAAAAGTAAGGTCATTGATGCTTATTCTGGACAGGAGAGGTGGGCCCGGCTATATTAGAGTGTCCGGGAAATAATCCTTTCTCTCTCGTGTGGGTAGAATTGGAATTTCTTAACATCCAACTCTCCGTGTATTCTTTTGTCATCGAAGTTTTGTTCTATTGATGGATCATTGTTATGTGGATAATAATTTGTAGCAGTGCGTGCAGCCAGCCTCTTTAGTTTCTCCTTTCACGTTTTGAATTCTCCAAGCTTTCTTACTTATTATGCTCATTTACAATTGGACGATAGATGTGGACAACTCGGAATGGCTTGGTTTGGCAAGAAGCATACGAGTGGTTTATGATTATGTGTATGCATCATGGAGCCTGTCAACTTCCAAAACCCCAAGACAATTTTTGCACTGGATCTCTTTTTATTTAAGGGAATATTTTCACTACATCAGAACCATGAATTAAAGGTTTACATAGCCGTTTGATATTTCCTGTAGTAGTTGAGATTCTGGCACTGAAGAATCAGAAAAAGTTGGATTCTATTGTTTGGAGAGTGTTGAATAGAGCAGTAAATTTTCGGTGGATATGGGAAGAACATACTCTAGGCAAATATCATAGATGCTTCTGGCACTATGCCCCGGGTCTAAGATGCCACTTGACCTCTAGTTGTTATAAAACTATCGAATTATTTAGGCTTCAATAACTAATTCAAAAAGCAAATAGGGAGAATACTGAAAGATAGAGAAAAATCTATTTCATTTGGTGTGTTTTGATTCAACAATTTGAGGTCCTTTTAAAGGCAAATACAAGAATTGAATTGCACTGCCAGTAGAGAGGTTGAGGGAGTAATGGATTAAATAAAGTAATGGTAGTGGACATTTACCTACATGCCAATGTCTTATTTTCAGCTTTCCTTTGGATGACCACTATACTAAGATAGTGTTGGATATACAAATGTTGTATCATCAAAATATCTAACATAGTTGGGACCCAAAACACTCGTTAAAAACCTTGCTAATTAAAACCCAGTGGAAAAAAATTTAGCAAAGGAAAAATGAGTATAGGCCTCCCTTTGTTGAATACATTTGACTAAAATGATGATTGCTTAACTTGATAAATCTTTGAGACGCCGTATTTCGATTTAATTCACTAATTTTTTGGAATGTAGTTGGTGGTGGGAGTGTTTCAGTGAACAAATCTGTCAGGTTTTCGATTGAACTAATTTGTTGAACATTAATATCATCATTCTTTTCTAACTCATGGGTATAAAAGAACTTTGGTGAGATATGTTTGATTGTGTCATCTTTGATATATCCTTCCTTGATTTGTGCGATACAAATACTAGCATGCCTTTGATTGAAGGTAGTCTACTTTGTTGTTGAATATGTTGAATCATGTATCTTAGCCAAATACATTTTTGACTTACTTCATGGATGACTAATATTTCGAAATGATTGGATAATATAGGAACCATTATTTTCTTAATCGATTTCCGTGATATAGTTGTATAACCATAAGTAAACACATATTTAGTTTGTGATCGAGTTTTGTGTGGATCAGAAAGATAATTGACATTTGTATATCCAATTAACTGCAGACTTTAGTCATTCGCATAGCATAACCCCATGTCCACCGTTCCACAGAGATACCACAATACATGCTTGATTCTATTCCAATGCTTTCGAGTTGGTGTTGACATCATTTAGAGGTGGGACCCAAATAACCTCGATATGACAATACTGAGGTCATGAACGCCCACGTGTACCACCTTTCCGTCTCGCTCTCTGTTCGGGAACACTGTGCCAATGTAGAATGTAGTGCGGGGACCACTGTGAACTTTTCTAATTGCCGTGCGACACGTAAATATATAGTGCGTCCGTCATCGTCTCCTCTGATGCATAAACTGTGATCTTTTTGGAAGTAGCGAAGTTCGATCATCACCATCCGGTTACGGAATCGAATGGCAAAGTTTTGATTTCTTTGAACTTACTAAGTGGGATATATTATTGTCACCTCACCTTCTCTGATATTATAAAGGCCAAGGTGTTGCCACCTATTGACATGTGGATACTCAGTGCACTAATTACACTGAGATATGGTGTTTTAGGACCAAGAAATTTTTCACATTCTTTTTGAGGATGAAATGAATTTTTCTTTGCATCTAGTGATCAGATGACCATTGGTGATCTCAATAGATGAGATTTATTCATCTAGAATTGTTTGAGGACCTTTTCTATGAATGTTGATTGATGCACAAAAACTTCATTGGATAAATGTTTAATCTATAGGCCAAAGCAAAATTTTGTTTGCCCCAGATCTTTTTTCTCAAACTTAAATTTTAAATAGCAAGAAACTTTTGTGAGCTCTTTTGGAGTGCCTACTAAGTTTAAATTATTAGCATATACACCAATAAGAGAAAATTCACTGTTATATCTTGTAATAAAATTACATGGACATATCAAATCATTGACATATCCCTCTTTCAAGAGATATTCACTAAGACGATTATATCACATCCAACTTGATTGTTTTAATTCATACAACGACCGTCGAAGTTTAATGGAATACAACATTCGAGTTTGTGAATTAGATGCTTTTGGCATTTTGAACCCTTCAAGAATTCTCATGCATATCTTATTGTCTAATGAGCCATACAAATACGTAATAACTACGTCCATTAAGCACATCTTCAGTCCTTTAAAGACTGTATAACTTATCAAAAATCTGAAAATGATAGCGTCTATTACAGGAGAATATATATCCTTGTAATTAATACTAGGTCTATGTGAGAACACTATGTGCCACAAGTCATGTCTTATACTGTACAATTTTAGTTTTTCATTTTGTTGGAAATCAAGCCCACGTCGCCACATGCATGCCACATGCCTGTGCATGTTTCTCTCCATATTTAGCATCCTCTATTGACTTTCCTGAATTAGTGTAATGTACAGCCTTTATTATAATTGATTTAGGAGTATTTTTTAGGATAAATATAATCATACAAGCTGTATGATTACCCAATTCCCGCAAGGTAGTTATTCACTTTCCATGTAAGAGAAATTTCATCCGGTGATGGTGTCCCATTCTAGAATTGTCTCCCATCTGTAAGCTATTTATTTATGCTTTCTTTCATTATTCAAATAAGATGAATCACAAAATGAATTGACTCAGGGTTCCTCCATAGTTTTAGTCTTCAATTTCTACATGGTATCAGAGCAGGTTTAATCCCGTCTCATTGTCTTCATCTTCAGTTAGTATTCGAGTTTTTTTTTCTCTCCTACTCGATTCTCTTCTTCTAGTTTATGCCTAAATACGGTCCAGCCTTTGTAATGGCTACCAACTCATCCTCCTCTTCTTCTGATATCATCATCTCATCGTCGTCATCCTCTTATCAGATGGAAACCTCTCATCTTTCGATCACAGCCCATAAACTGAATGGGCAAAATTATTTGCAATGGTCTCAGTCCATATTAATGTTTATATGGGGAAAGGAGAAAGATGACTATATCATCGGAGCTTCAGCGATACCAAAAACCACAACACCAACCCACAAAAGGTGGATAACAGAAAATAATATGGTCATGTCGTGGCTAGTCAACTCTATGACCACTGACATTGGCGAAAATTTTCTGTCATTTGATACTGCCAAAGAAATCTGGGACATGGCAAAAGAAACATTCTCAGACAAGGAAAACACATTTGAAATCATCTAGATTGAAGGCATCCTCCACGATTTGCGTCAAGGCAACCTCACGGTAACAGTATATTTCAATACCCTTACTCGTCTATGGCGTCAACTTGACACATTTGAGGTTCATAACTAGAATTGTGTTATTGCCGGTTTGTTGTATAAAAAGATTGTCGAAGGGAAACGTGTGTTTAAATTTTTGTTAGGCTTGAACAAAAATCTTGATGAAATCAGAGGAAGAATCATGGGAGTAAAGCCTCTACCTACCCTTAGAGAGGCATTCTCTGAAGTTTGTCGTGAAGAAAATTGAAAAAATCTCATGATGGGATCCCATCAACAATTGAATATGACAGAAAGCTCGGCTCTTAAGACTCAATTCGCTCCTTTTAACAACCGTCAAAAAGAATAAAGGAGGTAGACCTTGGTGTGATCATTGCAGAAAGCTGGGTCACTCAAGAGAAACTTGCTAGAAGATTCATGGAAAGCCAGTAGATTGGAAGCCACGTCAACCACTTGAGAAAGAAGGATGAGGTAATCGTGTGGCTACCAATGAACAATTGCCACAACCTGAAGCTAGCCCTCTTAACAATGAGCAAATCAAGACGCTTCAGAAACTATTGTCTCCTTTTTTGTCAGTACAGTCACAAACTGGCTCGTTTTCCAACTAGGCCATTGGTTCCAGAATCTTGGCTCACAAAGGTAATTATTTGAGTGCCTTTACTGTTGGTAAGAAATGTAAAAAACCTTGGATCATGGACTCAGGAGCATCTGATCATATGACGGGAGATTTGACAATTTTTGATACATATAGCTCATGTCCAAATAATTTAATAGTCCGAATAGCAGATGGTTCACTATTAAAGGTTTCCGGTACAAGTTCAGTTGTGCTATCTGGGGATCTTACTCTCAACTCTGTTCTCCTTGTTCCTAACTTGGACTGTAAGCTATTGTCAATTAGTAAACTCACTAAGGAAAAGAGGTGTATTACTAATTTTTTCTCCATTCACTGTGAATTTCAGGATTTGGGTTCGGGAAAGATGATTGGCAATGTTGAGGAATGCTCTGGACTCTACATCCTTAAGGAGTGCCATTATCCACAAGAACAACCTCAAACGACAATTAGTGGTAATTCTTCTTCGGTTTCATGTCAAAATAACGATAGTGCAATTATGTTGTGGCACTATTGCTTAGGTCATCCTAATGTTA